AGAACAGACTGCTTTCTCCAGAAGTTTTATTTATTTTACTGATTACCGCACTTTCCTGAGGAGTGGTACAGTGTAATTCAATGAATACTCCAAGTTCAAACAAATTATATTTATTTAATAAGCATATTTTAAGCACTTCCATCTATTAGACATTATGGGTGTAGAGATAAGACACAAGTAATAAGTACCCAAACTTACTGTCATTCTTTTCTGAAAGTGTCTGAATTTTTTTTGGCACCAGGAATCAAACTTGGGTCCTTGCGCTTGCGCAGCAGGCAGCGAAACCACTGAGCTAAATCGCGGGCCCGAAATGTCTGAATTTTTACAGACTTGTGTTTTCACCTCCATAATTTTCTACCTAGTTTCTAAGTCTTCATCAGCTTTTGGATTCCCATCGTTTAATAATTGTTACAGCTCTGACTATCACAGTTGTAAAATTCTAATTCTAATTCATTATTGGCTTCACCCTTGTGTCCCTAGCAAATTATCGAGTTTAGCATTTTTAGATCACGAGATCATGTTTAAATAAAATTAAGTTTAAATCACTTTATCTTTGGAAAGGACTTTATTCTTTGAGGACATTCGAACTTTTTGAGAGTAGATTTTCAGAAATAATTTTAAATTATTATGAAAAATTATAAAATTCATCTTAATAACAAATGGAAAAAATTTAAGATTTTAAAAAAAATTTTTGCTTACTGCAGCTTACTGTTAGGACTTACTCTATTATTTGGATTATGAAGGGGAGGGTGTGAGAGTAGCTGTTGGCTCCTCAAGTTGTTTTATCACAACTTGTGTAAATATCTAGTGACTCATTTCAGTAGCGTGGCTTGGGAAGAACAACAAAAGATAGAGAAGAAAGATTAGAGGTTCATAGCTTTTTCACCTACTGCACATTTTCAGTAATTACATTTCTTTCGAGAAAATTTGAGTCTAAATTTCACCATTAAGTCAGTACCTTTAAATACTGTTGGGTAGCCTTGAAAATCAGGAGACATTCACAGATCACATTCTAAAAACAGTTAGGGCTAAATGTATCCTCGAGGGAGAATTCTCTCCTCTCGTGCTGTCCACATTTATAAATCTGTCAACCTAGGAAAATCAATTGTGACACTCACTGTCTTTTTTATACAGATAGGCTGAAAATGGAACTGGAAAGAAATAAAAAGATTGCATAAGTACAGTCTATATGGCTTTGGGGGGAGACAGGTCTCACTGGGTTGTCTAGGCAAGCTTTGGATTCCTGGGCTCAAGCAGTTCTCAGGCCCCACCCTCCTGAGTAGCTGGGTCTACAGGTGTGCACCACCATACCTGACTGCTTATAATTTTTTATATTTCGTGTACTTGTTTACTTAGTTTGGAATATTTGTAATATAAAATTTCATTTATCAATTTTACTTCCAGTTAAATTTGTCACCTGTTTTTATAACATTTTCACTAAAACAACATTCAATTTGAATTTGTTCAATTGGATCATCATAGTGTTTATTATTTTTAAAGAAATGTCATTATGCTAAACTAGAAGTTCCCCAGAAAGCACAACTCATTAAAACATTGAGAAACCAATGTTATAATTCCCCATGCTGTATACTGAAATTTATGCTTGATAATCCACAATATAACTGATAAAAATGTTCAAGAAAATTGTCAGACATCTTGTTCTGAGTCATAGCTCTTCTGATTTTCTTTCTTTATTTCCACATCTAAACTCTTTAGCCTACTTACTACAGTGGAAATGTCGTTATCCAAAGGACTTATTTCCCCCATCATTGTCCCCTTATCGCTCGTTACCTTCAAGTGATACTGTATCAGTTCCAGAAGTGGCCTAAAGAGCCTTTGACTGCCAGCTTATGTGTAATTTGAGAACAACAGGAACTCCATCCAAGGGCCTTCTCTGTTGCCTGCTACAGTGGCTGAGATTTCATCGATCACTGAGGCTTAAAGGCTCTTTAGTTTCAGAAATCTCTAAGTAGAAATACCTATAGAAGAAGGAAGGTCCTCCAAATGTGGGCCTACATTGGGTTGGGAAGGAATAAAGGGCGAAAGCATTCAAAATAAAATTCCACCTTTACCCTGTCTCAGCTTTTGCCTCTGCAGATGTTCTTTTTCCAGAGTACATTTGCTTAAGTTTTCAGTCTTTAAACCCCTCCTTCCTGTCTCTGCTTCCTTACACAGCCGGCTTCCTTTTCTTGCGTTCACTCCTCAAATGTTGGCAGTCCAGATTTCATCATTCCCACGCAACTGAAACTAATTTCTGTGGTGTTATATCAAAATTCCAGTGCATTCAAGGTGTATCCACCGTGAAAGCATTATGTTAAATAAAATAAATCAGATATACAAGCTTAAATACCTTTGGTTTCTCTCATTTGATTAATCCAAAGTACAAACAAAGAGCACAATATAAAACTGATGAAGGAAACAGAGAGAGATTTTTTGCAGATGGGAAGGGGACCAACAGATTGAAGTTTGGAGAAGGGAACATATAAAGGTTTAAGAGTGTCATGTACGTGTATTAACTATCCACAATAAATGTAATCTTTATATGTTGCAAACATAAGCTAAAATAATAATAATAATAATAATAATAATAATAATAATAATGAAAATGGGGAAAGGGGCTCTAGAGACATAGTGGTGGAAGAGGGTAAACGGGAGGAAAAAGAGTCAAAAGAACCAAGCTATGTTAAGTACACGCACCCACTCCCTAAGGTAAGTGTAAGCATCATGTACTCCAAACATGTACCAACACAAAGTTTTTAAAAATCCAGTGCAAATTTAAAGATCTTCGCAGTCTTTGTCACTCTAAAGTTTTCGGTTTACTCTGTATTGCCACCCTCTCCGTTAAACTTTCTTCAGCGTAATTCTGTGACACAACTTGTACAAGAGCTGTTCTAACTGACGAAATCTGTTCTGTGCTTCTAATTCTCAAATCTGGGAATATCTATGGTAGGGTTCTGTTCTAAAACCAGGACCCAGGCTCTGGAGATCCCAAACACCCCAGTAGCTGTTGGGTAGAGCTCTTTCAAAACACGTGAAACTTCCCCCGTATCTAGATGACACAGAGGCACCTGTTTCCATTACTGGACTTTTATCCCCCTCATCCAAGTTTTCACTCATGTCCTATATCCTTTTATGAGATCATTACATACCAATATCTCTACCATTTTTATTCCTCTAAGTAGTTACATAGTATAATTCTTATTTTCACATTTCTTGTACCCATTTCTTCCTGTCCATCCTCATTTTACTCATGTTTTAAAACTTGAATTACTAGAATTACTCCTGCTTCTTATACCTCCCTCTTTTGGTTTTAGAACCTCAAAAGTGATTATTTGCAAATGTAAATCTAATTTTCTCACTTAGCCCCTTTTGTTTATTTTCCCATTGCCTTTAAGATAAGAGTTTTGAATTTTAATAGTCATTAATAATGTATTTGGTAAGTTATTCAGTAAAGGTTGAGCACATACCTACTGAGTCTGGGGTTATTCATTGGGAAAAAGACACAGGGTCCCAATGCTTATGGTGTTTGCATGCTACAAGGCCCTCTACAAGCTGCTGATGACTTACATATCTGATCTTCCCTGTGGTTTCCGGTGTCAAGTTACATGTGTTGCCTGACCTCTTTAGTGCCCCTTAGTTTACGTTCAAGAAATTCTTTCTGGTAACCCCAGATCCCTTAAAATCTCATATGCCTCATGGGTCTCTCTTTTTTTTTTTTTCTTCCGGTACTGGGGATTGAACTCAGGACCTTGCGCTTGCAAGGCAGGCACTGGAACCACTGAGCTAAATCCCCGGCCCACATGGGTCTCTTTCTTTGTAATGATTTTCCCATTCACTCTTCTCATTAAGTTGCTGTCACACCCTCCTTTGGATGACTACCACAATCAGTGCACTTGCCTTAGCATTTACAGTTGTGAAGCCAGCTTAATGCTCATGCCTCTCTGAAAATAGTCAAGTTGCATGAGGCATTGTTCGTGGGCATTGTTCTTGCCACATGTCATAGGCAATGAGTCAACACTGGTTGCATTAACATGCAGAAGTCTGGTGCCCCAGGAAATCAAGGATGTAGAAACAGTCTCTTGAGATGCTGTTAAACTGTTGGGATGTTTTCTCCTCATATACACCATTTACCTAATTAGACATTTTTTGTGAGCTCATGCACCTGCCCTGGATTTTCCCATGGGAAAATTGGGGGAAGTTTAAACATTAGAATGAAATCACTGTCATATAAATGTCCTTTAAATGTTAAATATATAGTATGTATTTTATATATCTTTATATCTTCATATACACACATATATTGTATATATTTGTACTTACTCTTGTGTCTTTATAAAATCCACTATGCTTTTAGTAAATTTAGCTCATCTTAGCATCAACCTGCTGGAGAAAGTCTTAATTGAAAGATTTACTGCAACAGAGAAAATCTACTTCTACCAGAAAATTTTGAAACTTGTTTGCTTCTAAGGAAAGCTTTTTTATTTCAAGTGAAACCTTGAAATAAAAAAAGACACAAGACTGACTTGAAGTCACAAAAATATATTTCTGGAATTGTAAATAGCAGAACTGTGCTAGTGTCTGTGAACCAAAAATACGCATTTTGGAAGTGATTCATAGTACCCAAGTGCACTTTGAAACTTCTCTTTGATGTCTGTATTATTTCATTTGTATGAATTTCCATTGGCGCCTTCCAGTTAATTAGGCCAAAAAGCCATGCACTTTTTACACAAACTTTAAGGGACAACAGCATTTCTTTTCATTTCACGTGTGGATATCCGATAAAATCAGTTCAAGACTTTGAGGGCAACTTCAATATATCTTGATTTTACACTTGAGAAAGTTAAAGCACTGTAACCTTAAGAGACTCTGTTGATGTTGAATATTGTTGGTGGGCTCTCCCGGGGCTGTTCCTGCTCCATCAACCATATGATTTATGATTTTTTTGGATGATATCAATAAATCATAAGTCAAACTTGTATCTTTCCTCTGTGTTGATCAAGGTTCCTACCTGGTCCCGCTTCCGGCAGCAGAACTAGCTAACTGTGCAGAACTGGGGACCCTCTGTCAAGGTAGGGAGCCCGTGTCGCCCTCTGCAGTCTCTCTGCTTCCTTCTTGCTATTTTGAGTGATGTAGTTATCATTGCTTTGATGTTTATCTTAATTTGCAGTTGGAAAGTAAAAAACCAGCAAAGCAGAAGAATTTCTGGCTGTCTTTTAGTTGTGTGGGTGCACAGTGTAGAGAAAGAATGCATTCACACACTGGATGACTGCATTTCCATAAAGCACTGAGATTTTGAAAATGTGAATGATTATGTTATTAAACAAGGGTTTATTTTCATTTCCTTCTGTTTCTTCTCAAGAATATCGCAAAGGTCCAATATTTTGAAGAAGTATTTGTGTCTATAAAACAAATGGAAAAATAAATCAAATATTTAGTTAAGTTTAAGAAAAGGCTATGAGACAACTTATGATAACAATATAAATGTATATATATAACTTGTCCAGATAAAATGGTTATACTAAGCTAATGTTAATATAACTGTGTGAATTATACTTAATAACTATATCATGTCAATATTCAGTTACCTATTGTTTACTAAATAGTTGCATGCTAAACAATCCATAGTCATACAAGTTATAAGATAATAATATAAATATGTTGCTTTAATTTTTATATTGTGCCTCCTAATCACCCATGTTCCCTTTTCTCCCATTTATTCTATTAGATGCTTCTATTTGAAGTAGCATATCCTATGTGCCACATGAGAACCATGACCATAACTTTCATAAAAGTTGGATCTCTTACTTAAAGGATCATGGCACAAAGCTGATGGGGTTAGAAGTGAGATCAAACACGTAGAAACTTATATCCTCTCTTCTACCGTTTGAGTGTGGGAGCAGAGAATGAGTGGGAAGGGGAATCTCATCATCTTTGTTTTCCTCAGACATTGCTCAGATATTATTATCAATAAATACCCTACTAAAATTAAGTAGTTTCTTTACATGAACTCCGTTTTAAAATAGTTATATGAAGCAGACTAGAAATGCTTAATTTTGTTTCTTTCAAGATCTGAAAGCTTTTTAAAAATATTTTTTAAATTTTTCAAAATTCTTCTAGTCTGAGATATCTATAGTATTTATTCTTTGAGTCAAAGCACCAGATAGCCATCTTTTTCTTTGTTTTTTCCCTTCTGTTGCAAATGACTAAAATTCACAATGCATTTTACATTAAGATAAACATAATTGATTGTTCAGAATTTTCTAAAAGGACTTCAGAAACAATTCCCATTTTTAAGTGCTACATGTGCTTTGGAATGGAAAATTATTTATCAATGAATGTGTATTTTATACCCAGAAATTCAGTATTTTAAATAGAGCTTTTTAAAGGTAATTCTTTGGGTAATCACTTAAATATATTGTTTAACTAATTTTTTAATTGAAGGAAATGAATAATAGATCATAATTGTATATATGAATGTACATCTAATATAAATGTCTTCATAAGATAAACTAGAGAAAAAATATGGGTGTAGTTTTGTTTTGTTTTTTACTTCATACATAGATTTTCCAATCCCTTAGAAAGAATTATAAAAATAATTCATAAGGGTTTGGTCTTTGAGAATTTTTGAAGTATCAGAAGCATAACTATGACTTAATACTTTGAAAATATCTCCCCTATAATGGTTGCCCTTGTGAAATACTTTTATCCATCAGTGTCTAGTGAAATTATTGGGATATTTCAGTGATTGATTGAGTGTATACGTTCATTCCCTTGTTTTTCCTTGCATTTATTTTCTTCTGAGAGACATCATTTCTCTAATTTTAGTGGATCAAGCAAACTGATTTAGTTTAGATAATTTTCAAGGCTTAGGTCTATATTCAGACAGCCTTCTTGAAGTTTCTCTTTTTCAAACACAGGAAATGAGTTTTGCAAAGGTTTAGTGATTTTCTGTTTGATTGGCAGCTTTTTAATGGCAGAGTTAGGTCTAGAATTGAAATATCCTTTGTTCAGTTGCTTTGTGCCAGTTCCAGACCCTTGTGCTGTTTGGCACTAATGACTGTGGGAGTTGGTTCTCCATGTGCCACGGAAAGCAGTGCTTCATTTTACATATGATAACCTCAGAGTCCTTTGTAATCAGTAGCAAGAAATGGTTTCCATTCCTCCTCTATGTATTTCCATGCATCAATTATAAATTGCTTATCCATATTAACTGTGATGTGCTCCTTGCAAAATTACATCTTTCTCATCTTTATTACCAGCAACTGTAAGCTCTACTAGTACTACACCACCCACTGTCACCACTAACATGCCTGTTACTAATAGAATCGATAAACAAAAGAATGGTAAGAAATCATTACCTTTTCTATTTGTGATATGTGTAACATAATAAAAAGTTGTAGTCTAAGGGTGAAAATATCTAATGTTCCAGCAACATTTCTGTTATTGAAAGTAATTGGTGCATTTGTACTTTTGCAAAGCTAATAAATAAGTGTCACTTATACGATTGTAATGACCAGGGGAATGAATATATTTACAGTACTTTTGTTCTGCACTTTTAGCTAAAAAGTCTTTCAAAGGAAGTTTTAAGAGAAAGACATTTAGTTTAAAGGAACTAATTTCCATTATAATAGAGAACTGATAAAGAAACCCTATTCTTTCTACAGAATCTTATGTATTGCCAGATGATTCTCTTCAGGGAAACGGGTTTTTTAAAGGATTTTATAATTTCAAAAAACTGAATTTAGTAGTTTAATTTTTCATGGATGTTAACTTTATGTTGAAACATTAATGACATTTAAATGGTTTGTTTTTGTTGAAGAATAATGGTTAGAATATTATTATCAGTTAAAGCATATCTTTTTTGGTGGTACTGGCACTTAAACATCCTAGACAAATGCCCTACCACTAAGCTGTACCCCCAGCCCCAATTAATTTTGGCATAATGAAATCCAAGTAACTTCCAATGATTTTTTTCTTTTTCCCTATACGTACTTTTCCTTTAATATTAGGTCTAATTTGCAAATGCAATAGTTATATAAAGTTAAGAAATGAGCAGAGGAAAAACCAGGTGAATTGAGTTCTTATTTAATCTGCTACCCACATGGATTACATAAACAATCTTTTGAAAATTTAGAGTTAGTGATTTTAGTTAATGATAAAGAGAAATTCCAATCAGGTGACTACACCATTGCCTTAAATACAGTAATATTCTGAAATATGAGATAGTGGAAACAAAGGCATTTTCTAAACCCCAGTCCTTTAGCTCATGAGGCCAAGGCATCCGTAATATATCACCAGGGACTCAAAATCCAGAGAAGAGAAACTCATATCGTTCATTTTTTCTTTTGGCTTCAAGGGTTATATCAACTTCCTCTGTGAGAACATTTAAATTGAAAGTATGGAATATTTTACATGAAACATAGATATAAGTTTCATTAGGCTTATAAAGCCCTCAATTCAGGGAAGTGTTTATGGTTATTCTGCTAGTTACACCAAGGAGATTTATGATGGAACAAAAATTCCAGCAACCCCCAAGAAAGCAGCAGCAGCTGAAGTTTCCAGTGCATATTTTACATGCACTCCTGCCAGCAGATGGGAATATTATAATTCTAACTGAGTATTTCACTCTTTGTATGAACACACAAAGAGCCTCTGTGACGCTCTCCCTCCAAGCCTGGCATATCCTCTACTGCCCAAGAACATTTATATGGTGCTTCAGAGTCCTCGACTTGGTAGAGTAGGGCTGTATTCACTCAATCATGTCATTTCTAACATTCGTGAAGAGAGCCTTGTTCAGTCCATCTCTTTCTGCGTCATGACCTTCTTTGGAGTTTCAACAAAGCAAGCAAATGTTAGAATCAGCTCAGATGGTCTATGTTGACCACATTAATGAAAAAGAATCTAATTCAGATGATTTTGATCAAAATATAATCTTAGCACTTAAAAATATTCAAAAGGCATGTGATAGAAATAAACTCATAATTATGTGTTCAAATTTGTGCATAATTTGTACTATATCCTTGAATCACCTATTCGATTTACTTCATTTTTTTCTAAATTTACTCAAACATTTGTATTTATATGGGGAAATTAAGTTCTTTATTGTAAAATGAACTTTTTACTTGCTGTAAAATAGAAGTGAAAAGAATATAATGTGCAAATAAGTAAAATGTAAATAATGTTTCTCAATTCCCTGTATATTTTCTTAGCTTTTCACATCTCAGAGCTGAATGCTTGTTATCTTTTTTAAAAGAAATGTCAGAGATAAATGATACTAAAATAAGAATTTTTCTGTGATGTAAGCAAATTTGAAATAATTGTAAAGAGAATTACTCTGTTTTTCCTTGTGAATAAATGACATTTAATGTCCTGTCCTGGACTATCTAAGATCATTTACATATTATCAACAATTTCTTATTCTTTGGGAAACGGATATAGTAAACATTCTCAGGCTTACAATCAGATATGTTATAAAATTGTATTTGGAGCACATAAGAAAGTTGAGAACAGCCGACAAACACATTATCCACCTTATCTAGTCCTTTTAGCTCTGGACATTCAGAGTTTTACTGATCTCATCAATAACAGTCTGTCAGTGCAGGGACAGGAGGACTGAGATTGTTGTATATTTCTTCATTGTGTCAATGAAGTTGACTTTCCCAGCTTTTGTATAATATTACTATTTTCTATGTAAAACTCTTTTTGTTATCTTCAATAGGCTTTCATCTGACATCCACAATTATATAAAGAAAGTCTTATCTTTTAGGCTGTTGTTCACGAACAGATATTTTAGGATGTCGTGGATAATGTAGCCATTCCCACGAATAATGAACTTGTGTGCCTTTTCCACCACATTCCCAAGAAAGTTCCTGGACTAATTATTATTTTAATTCCAAATAATATCTTCTGTGCTTGGAACAAAATCCTAGTGCCACTAGTTAGGAAGCTTTTATGAAGTTGGCACAGTCAACCCAAGTAAGGAATTAATGACATTAGTTCCTATTACTGTTCTAAAAATGTAGTTTGCAGGTACCAGTTGTTCCTTTTTGTTTCTTATGCATGTTTAGCTGTCCAAATACCAAATTCACTCACAGGATGTTTGTGTGGGTCTAGCGGTCACTCTAGGTATGTATGCCAGGTACCTTAAAGAAATCGTGTGTGTAGGTGCTGCAGGGCATCTACTGTCATGGTGTAATTGCCTACCCACCAATTCAAAGACGTAATCTCAAACCTACAATAACATCCAATTTGGATTTTAAGATATCTTTTGAAATACATACTTTCAAACCCAACATTTCAAACCTCTATTTCACACCCTTGAAAATAGCATAGTGTCATTTCTAAATCCTCCAAGGAACTGAAAAGAGTGATAAGAAAGAAAAGAAAAGATTCATTGACGAGAGATCTACAGAAAGAAAAACTTTTGACCTCACATCTGTAACAGCAGGCAGTGATTCTACTTTGATGTCCTATGTGACTGGAAGAATTATTCAATTGGAAAACGGATATATTCTTAAATACTTATTTCAAGAAGTGTCTACCAGGTGTTTTTTTGACCTGAATGTCATAACAAGGACAGTCCATATAACTCTTTATCTCTCTCTCTCTATTTTTTTTTTCTTTTTCTGGTACTGGAGATTGAACTCAGGACCTTGTGCTTGCGATGCAGCTGTGGTGCCACTGAGCTACATCCCCAGCCCAGTCCATATATCTCTTAAAGTCTCTGGAACACATGATTTAGGGGTAGTTTATACTGAGACACCACAAAGGTTTCTACATCTGCAGAAGACTTGAGTTCTGCCCTGATAACAGGGAAGAGCCTGCATCTATGGGTACTCACTGCGTTTCCTCCAGTGGCAGTGTTTAAGCCAATTAGTTTGCTGCAGTCCAAACCCTTCTCAGCAGCTCCTCACTGGACAGTTTATCCTTTTTTTCCTGGTTTACCCTTGGACATATCTCAAGATTGTTTGTTGACCTCATTACTGAAAAATTTAAAATAACTAACAAGTAGACTCTGTTGAGTAATATTTAGCTAATTTTTGGAAATATGATATAATTCTAAGGCTTCTAGATAAAGATTGCATCATAATTACCCACAGCAAGGAGAATCTGTAACACAAGATTACTTGGAATATTGACATTTTACCATCTATAAGCAATATTATCCTAGAGAGAAGGCTCCCAAGTTTGTCTCTGATATTGAATGTCTCTCTCATTTATGAAAACAGTCAACTGAAAAAAAGAGAGCAGGAACATTTAAAATATAAAGAAACTATCTTAAGTATCTATCTATATTTAAAATATAAAGAAACTATCTTAAGTGTCTATCTATAAACTGTCTCAAATAAAATTTCCGGAATGTCAGTGGTTAAAAATACTGATTTTTAGTATTTTGTATTCCCCCCCCTCCCCCCAGGAACAAATGCTCCTCTTTATAAACAAAAATCATGCTTTAGGACTCCATCTAGTGGTAGATTTTCAGATACTCTGCTAGCACTGGTGAAAATTCACAGACTATCCCTAGGAACCTGCAGCCCTACACTACTTCCTGAAGACCCTTAGGGTCTCCTGGGCCACCGCATCTTACCCTTCCTCTCAGTCATTCAGAACACCCATGACTTGCTATGATGAGATCCACAGGACAAAAGATTTTTTTTGCCTTCATTATCATTTATGTTATATGTTTGTTCCTCTATTGTTCATTTAAAATATGTTTTAAAGGAATATAAAGTCCAGATCAGTAAAATACCTGAAGAGATTTAGAATTTGAAATAACCTAGTCTGCATAAATTAAATTCACCTGTCTTTGGAATTACACCAGTTTCACATATTTGTACTCCTATATTTGAAGATGGCCATTTCTGTCATTTGGCATCAGACTGATTCCTTTACTGGAAAGACATTCCTTTAGTAGTGGGACTGGAATTTGCATTTTAATAAAATTTGGGAGTTTCCAGAGGCTTACTTTTGCATTTTTCCCCATCGCTTCCTCACAATTTTCTTTAAATATATTCCTCAACATTATTTTAATTATATATTTCTATATCTTTATGCATATTTTATTTGACTTACTTAAACATTGTGTGAAGAAAGATAATTGCCAATAACTGATAATACATTTTTTTTCTCTCTTTAACCAACTGTATTTTGAGTATATTTTTCTGCTCTAGCTACTTTGAGTAAAGGGCCCTATAGCTCACAGCTGGAGAGATTTAGCAAACCCTTGCTGGTCAGTGTAATTTTCGTGGGGAAAACAAAATCAAACTAAAGATTGCCTTCCCTTCCTCCAGTAAAATAGAACCTCTGTTCATAGCATTGTCCTGTTAAAATTTACCTGGAAATATTCTCTTTTTTTTCCCTATTTCAGTATAAATGATCATATTTAAAAAATTTTAATGAAAAAGTCTGATGAAGTCTGCCTCAGTAGTTTAGTAGAAGTTAATGTTTTTGCTGGGAAGAGGGGAAGGCAGAGATGTGGAGGCGGTACATGCCTGCCCTTCACAGTAACCCCTGGCCATTCTCTCACTCAGCACTTCATGGCAAGTTCTTCGTCATCTTTATCATGTGTAAACAAGCATACCTTCTTGTTCTAAGAGGTCCATTTGCACATGGAAAAATTGACACTTTATGGATAGTTCAAATCAGAAATCTGAAGAACCATGCAAACATTACAAAGGTCATATGCAAAAGATATTTTAGGAGCATCAAATTATAAAAGTAAACCAATTGATAACTGTTTCTAAAAAGTTACAAAGGTAAAAAAGTTTAGCATTAAATCAGCCGGGAAATTTTCTGGGCTTATATAAAAGGTTTCATTTAACTTGCAAGGAATTATGTGATTATAAATTTACTTTTTGATATGACTATAAAACAATTCACAAATTAACCCTGTTTCCAATGGGCAGATGGAATTATGTATAGAATATCCGTAGTGATTCAAAATATCCTTCATCACCCTGAAGCCAAAGTACAGAGCAAGGTGGCAGAATGGGTAAGTGAACTTGTACAGTTGCTTCTCGGGTTGTTTGTTTTAAACCTTTGACTTCTAGAATCTGCAAGAGATTCTAGGTAATTGACTCTATAGATCATAATAAGGTGCAGTAACTATTCATTATGGTATCTGTATAGCTATATAATGTGCAAGGCAATTGTGTGAATGCATAAAAGAGTACATTACCGTAAAGAATACAAAACTGAGACTAATAAACTAATGATGTATTAAATAAGGAAATTACCACACAAATAGTTTGATAGATATCCGTACTATTAAATCCTTACATTTTAAGTTATTTTTTAAATATATATTTATTATTTTTGTTTGAATGCATGATCAAAACCAAAAGTAGAAAAAATTCTCATGAAAGTCTTCTGCTCACCCTTGCCACTCATGTGTCTGGAGATCAACCTATCTGCTTGGAAACTGTAATTTTTTCTGAATATGAAAGAAAATACATGATAGATTCTTATTTTTCTTCCTTTTTATATTAAAACTAATATATTTTATATGCCAATTCTATCTTGTACTTAATTTGTTGTTGCCAGATTTGCAGCCTTAGAATAGAACCTTACCTATTTATTTATTTATTTATTTATTTATTTATTTCAACAGTGCAGCTTCATTATGTGGTTATCTAGGTATCTATTTAACAAGTCTTTTGTCCGTGGACATTTAGGTTATAATTTATTTAACCAGTATCCTGTTGTTGAACTTTATGATATTTTCTAATTTAAAATTTTAACATTTTATTTTTTTCCTCTTATGAAATGCAACCTGTGGAGGTAGCATTTTCTTCTTTTTCACACCAATCTCAAAAATTTTATTTTCCACAGATTTCTATTTTATGAGGTTTTTGTGAGGTATTTTATGTACTTTTTTACAAAATACCAGACTAGACAGATCAAACATTAACTTTGTACAGTTCAAACATTAGCTTTTTGTGTGAATAGTCTCCAATGTGTGTATTCTGCAGTAAGAAAAATGAATTTCCTTATGTTGTATGTGTTTGATAAATGTGTCCTGATGGGAAAACATAAACTTTTAAATCTCTCTTTTTTTTTTGGTACCGGGGATCAAACTGGGGTCTTTGCGCTTGCATAGCAGGCGGCGAAACCACTGAGCTAAATCCCCGGCCCTTTTAAATCTCTTTTAAAAAACAATATTTTAAAAAACAAGTTGACATTAGAAACTATAGTATCCAATTAGTAATTCTGCTACAAAATTAGTAGGGAAGATAAAATTCTTTAGTAGACTTTAAGGAAATAGATTACAACTGACCTTCTAAAAAAATGGTACATAACACTAAGAGATATGTTTAAGTCTTAAGTGGAGAGCAAGCTTCACAGAAAGAATGCATTTTTGGATCCCGTTTTCTTTCCAGCATTGTTCTTTGAAGTCTGAACTATATCAAAGTCTAATTGTTTAATTTTATTCTCAAGCCACTGATGTTATTAATCCTAAAAATTAGTATCACTGCAAGTTCTATGCTAGACAAGATAGAATTTTAGATTCATGTTTTTGTACCGTTTTCAACATAGCATCATTCTTATCCGAAGCTAAACTTCCTTGGATACTTCTCATTTAAGATGCAAGCTATCCAAGCAGATACTTGATAAAAAGGAATATTTAAATTGTGTCTTTTTGCATATTACAGATTGCACATAGGACCATTGGGCATCCCTAACCCATGAATTTAAAATCTGAAATGCTTCTTTTCCTTTTTAACTTCCAGATGAGGGATGCTCAATGAGTAAAATCTATAAAGATACTTCAAAATTAGAAAAGAATGTGAAATTTGAAGTGCTTCTGGTTCCAAGCATTTCAGACAAGGGGAATTAAGCCTGCATTATTAATCATAATTAAAAAATAATTTAACCTCCCTTTTAGCAGCATCTCCTATCATTTACATTTAATTTTCAAAATAGCATGTTAGCTTTCCATTGCAGTGACAAAGTACCTGAATCATCAACTGGGAAAGAGGAGAGATTTATTTTAGCTCATAGCTCCATAGGTTTCATTCCATGCGCACTTAGCCCTGTCCATCTGGGGCTGTGGCAGCCTAGTCCATCCTAACAGAGGCGCATGGCAGAAGAAGCCTGTTCACTGCTTGGTAGCTGGGAAGCAGAGAGAGACAGGAGTCCCAGTATCCCTCAAGGCACATTCCCATTGAGCTAATTTCCGCTTTGAGTTTCCACCCATTTCGAACAGCACCACGGCTTAGCACAGGGGCTCCAAAGAGATTCCAGACACAACCTGTAGCAGATGCTTGTGAGGAAAGCTAAACATTGGTGTGAAACAAGATCTAGAAACCCTGTGGAGATGACATAAAAACAGGAAACTCTCCTGTCAGTGAAGAAATCCTGTTTTGCAATTGTAACAGACACTGTATTATGAAAATTTATCATTTATATTGAAGAGGAATTTATTGCTTCATTAAAAAATCTGGAACTGAGATCCATAAAAATTCTTGAATAACTACATGAAATTAACATTTCCAGTATTGTTGAACTTATTTTACACTTGTTTTTAAAGATGTATAGTGTTCATTTATATTTTTTATTACTAATATTTTTGAGATGCTAATTACTACAAAATACATTTTATTGTTCCTCAGTATTTATTAAATAAAGAATATGGAAGATACTCGTTTTGCTAATTTTATTATAATACGGGCCATGGAGGAAATTCGAGAGTTTCCAAACAGATAGACTTGAGTTCCATTGTAGACTCTGCCAGATTATTAGATTAACTAATAGTTGGGTGACTGACAAGCTACTTAATACCTGTATATCTCAATTCTTTAATAGATGAGGCAGTGGAGTTGGGGAGTAATACCTATCCTATTTTATTGTAAGGATTGAAAAAAACTAACATTTATCGGGTTCTTAGAAAACAGTGATTCAGTATCTGCTACTTTTACCTCATGTTGCACTGGTTTTCCAAGATTTCCCTGAGGTTTTATCCCTGAAACAAACTTACGTTTTGGAGGAAAAATCTTACCTTTTTCCATTATGGTTTTCAGCTCAATTCAACTTTCCAGAATTGGAACTACACTGTTTATGTGGTTAATATCAGGTAAGTGACAGAATGAATTATTTTAGATAAAAAGTAATATCTATTTAATGTTATTGCCTCTGTATGATGTACCAGAAATAAACTGTGTGTTGGCTTATATATAAGTGAATCATTATGTGTTGTAATGTATCAAAAAATTAGAGAACAGTGAAATATAAAGAAGTTCGGTTGTTTTTTCCTCTCATTACTGTGGGTCCACCACGCACCCTGGATTGTGTGTACTCCAGTTTGGAGACCACTTTTTCTACACAGTAGGACATCTACAGTCTGTTTGCAACCTGGCTTTTCAAAATTAGCTTATATTATTTTTCTATTTAAATTTGCCACTAAATTCTCGAAAGCAATATTGTCTACAATACTCTACCTTGTATGTCTGTACCTTGTTTTCAGTTTTATAGTGAAAATAGTTTTTAAAGTGTCTTTCACAATGGGTAACCATGTATTCTGTGAGCCTAAGTGATGTCGTAACAGAAAAGGGATCAGTTGGCAATTTCAGGAAGTGCATTATTCAACAAACTAAAGCGGCTCTTTCTAGGAACTTCTCACATTCTTTGTCCTGTGGATATGCATTGTTTGAGTCTGCAAAAGAAAGCAGAAACACACAGTTGTCTGGGCTTGTGAGAGAATCAAGAACCTCAGAACACACATTTGGAAATAGTGGCTTAGGATGTCCAGTCTGCTCTATCTTTTACCTCTTCCAGTTTTCTTGATGATTCAGTAGACAAAGGTGCCAATGAATATATGTATTTATATTTATAGTTTTCACCTGAGCACTGGAGAGGACAAGATTAAAGTCAAGAGAAGCATTGTGGATGATCAAAGGTAACACTAACAAAATCATCTGAAAGTATAGCATTCTTTTTCTTGCTCGTTGCTTTCACAATCTGGTAGAGAAATAAAAATAATGATATAGGAGAAAAAAATTTAATCACCTAGAACATTTCTTTAGTGCTAATGCATGTTACTTTTTCTTATTTTTAAAACCGTAATAGAATAGACTGAGTAGAAGCATAAGTTTAGTGAAAAATTAGTTCAAAAGTAGAGCATTTAACAAGACTGAATTATTAATTGGTATTTCCAGTTTACTTTTAATAACCATTAACTTCTACTTGAAATTTCAATAGAACTTCAAGAAATAACATTAGAGCTGGGATTTTACCTTGCCTCTAAGCACAAGGCCCTGAATTCAATCTGTAGAACTGTAAAAATAATAGCTTTAAGTAAAGAGTTTATTATGTATGACAGCATCTAATAATATGGATAATAATGACAAAATGTTGATCATTTAAAGCCATCACCTGATTTTCTAAATTCTCCATTTTAAAATTTATATCAGAATCATAACTTCTTACAGGTAATTTAATTTATATATCCAGTATACTAAAGCAGGTGGCACGTAAGGACCAGCTGCTCGAATTGTTATGAAATGGAAATAACCTAAATTCCTAACTCCTAACTGAAAAAAAAGTTAGTTGTATTCAGGTAGTATATTGCATATATATAATATATACATAGTATATGTTTTTAAATGGGTTGAAAAGCAAATGTTCTCATAAATCTTGCTGAGTTTCAGTAAACTTAAATGAAGTTAGACATAACAAATGTGATGAGAGACTATGCTTCTTTTCAGGGAATATATTCTTACTACAAGAAGATAAAAACAAAAATTTATCTGACATTTTACCAGAGATCCCTCTTGGTATTATTTTCTACTTAACATTAGATAAACAGATTTTTCTAAATTTAAATTGAAAGACATAATTTCTTTATATATACTGGATCAAGTCACCTCATTAGGGAAAATTAGTTTTATTTTCTGACATTTCTTTCCTTTATGGTCCGAAAACAAAGGGATGTATTTCAATCATGTAAATGACAGAAGTTCTCTATTTAGCTGAATGATTTCTTTTCCATCCTTACCACCATGATACTAAGCCTTCCATTACGGATCCAGCACCAGCCTGCATCCCTTTGCTGGACACTCTCACAAGGCGGACAATCCCCATTTGGGAATCACTGATGTGTTACATTTCTCAGCCCCTTAGTATGAATTCTTAGCATCATTTTAATTATATTATGGCCTCTTCTTTTTTCCCATTCTCTATTGCTTTTATGCTCATTGATGAAGCTTTATCGCCTCTCATTGTTTTTCTCCAAACTGCTAGTTTCACACGTTCTTTTCCCTAAACTTTTCTTTTCAATCCAATTGTATCATTATAGCTTTAGATAATCCCGTCATACTTTATAGCCTAGACAGGCAGGGAACTAAAGCCACAGAGACAGGTTTCTTCAAATAAAGAATGGCTGATGGTATCAACAGATAGAACTTGACTTTGTAGAACCATAAAATAGTTTCAGTTTTCAGAATGAAAAAGGAAAACACAGGTAAGACCTGTGAAAGTGCATGGTTTTTCTTGAATGGCTAAGCTTGGCTTTGCAATGCCATCTGTAATACACTGTGCTAATGATGTTCTCAATATTCAGGAGAAGCAAAATGTCACATTCCCAGTTCTAAGTTCTCCATAACCGGAGTGACAAAGCTTATCTTCAAACAAAAATTTAATAAAAGGGATGCTTTTCCATAGGCCATTTCAAAGATGACCAAGATATCATAGTTCACCAATGTATTCATATCTACAATTGCCTTATCCTGAAACATGGTTTATATATGAATATTTAGCAGTTGATCATTCTAGAGATAAATAGCTTTTCAGAATGAGTTATAATAGCAGCACAGGAGTTTGTCTTTGAGCTAGCACAAGTATTCATAGGGGAAAAAATAATGCTACTTAATTTCACCTAACTTTGAATGACAAATATTTAACTTATTCTTTATTTTTTTAGCACCGCAAATATATTAGTATTTTAATTTTTTTTTAGTATTTTAATTTTGATTCCTATTCATAGGATTTCATAAATAAAATATGCCACTGCCTCGCCACAAAGTAGCTCATGCTTTGCCTTTGTCTCTGGCATGCAGACAGTAACTGCCTCCATAATATAATGTCTTATGTTATATTATTCATCTCTCCTCAAATATGAAGCAAGACGAAAGTGCTTTTGCAAACCCAGAGATATCACACCTAAGGGAAAGAATTTCTCTTTTACCTGACAAGATAATGCCATTTAACTTTATCACAGTGCTGAATTAATAGTTTTGATTTCTGCTGTTGATGACAGCTATGGCTATAGTTGAACATAAAATTACATTAATTTAAATTGTATAACCACATGTTTTGACAAGGATTTTAAGATACATCTCTTTGCTTTTTGTAGAGACTTTAAAGATCTTCAAGGCCAGACTTTGAAACTGTCTTTGGTAATATGTTGACCAATCCCAGAATGTATTTTGCGTATTTATTTATGAATTTTACCATACAACACACTTCCACATGTTTCCTAGAGATGGAAAATTATTTGTCACTCATCTGGAGAAATTATGCCACATTTTTAAATAATAGCAATTAATAATTTCAAAAGTCAATTATCAGTTAAAATTCTAATTTTTTCTTTAAAAATTTTATTCCTGGCCATAAAGAAACAGTGTAGAATTAACCACAAATAAAACCCGGTCTTGTGTGCACACTAGAAAATATTAAGTAATACATTGAATATTATTGACATCAAATATTAAAATATTTCCGAAAACAAATAGGCTTACATGATAAAGTTCCACATGCAGTTATGTAGTATCTTATAAAAATCTACAAGTGCTGAGATGTTTTTAACACTGTAATTTATGCAGCAGCAGGGAAAGCCGATGAGCAGCTTGGTTAATCTGTCTCAACAATCCATGGTCACCCTCCAGAATCAGGTGGCCTGTTTTTCCCACCAAAAAGCAAGGAACCAGTCGATACCTCCAGTGACAATTCTATTTGAAATGTTTTTCTAGGTTGGCGGTTTGGGCCCTTCTAGTTTACAATGCTACCAACAATGTCCCCTTAGAAGGAAAAACCATTCAGCAGAAGCTTTTACAAAACAACGCATCCCTGGATGCGGGCTTGAGGCTGTACACAGTGAATGTGAAGCAACTGGGTAAGTGACTTCGATTTTTTCTACTCAGTGCATTTTATATGACTATATATTCTGGTGTAAGTGAGCAACAACAGAGATAATCTTCTTCTTCCTTTCTGTGTCATTTGTCTATGTAAACATTTTTCTGATGATAAAATTAGTTGTATTGGTGATACTACAGCAAAAGAGTGATATGACAACATAAACAAGCAAAGCCACTCATACTTGTGAATCTAATGGAATGAAGGAGTAGATGAGAGTTTATGTTTCTTTTAGGAATATTTTATGAAATTACCAAGAATATGAGCAAATGCAAGGATAACTTGACCATTATTGGCTTCAACTTTAGGGATTTTTAAAAAAAGTGTGTGTGTATGCATGGATATGAAAACTCTAATACGGTAAATCTTATAAAAGGCAATTTCTCATTGTAAAACATTTCCTTCTCTTGTACTGCCTGTACATCTTGTACATCCATTAATAATCCCACTGTCTTTGTAGAAATAGGCCAAATATCTGGGAGTTACCTCGGATCTCAAATCACTTCTTTATTTTCTTTTTTGGTACCAGGAATCGGACCCGGGGCCTCGCACTTGCCAGGCAGACTCTGTGCCACTGAGGCATACCCCCGGACCCTCAAATCGCTTCTCACCTACACCCTGTTCACTTCCTCAGCTCCAGCCTCAGGTGTGGCGCTGCTTGCCCTTCCTAGCACGTGCCTGTGTATCTCGGTGCCCTTTGTCCACACTGCCCTTCTCTACTCTCACTGTCCACTTGATCATCACCTACGTATTTTTAAAGCCCCAAAGCCACCTTTTCTACGAAGCCTTTTCTGACATCATCATGTGTAAATATGTATCACCACCTCTGAGCTTCCACTTCTTGTTGTCCAGGTACCTGGGCCTCATACACTTTGGAAAACGGTAGTCTTGGGAACAGGGTGTAGTGGCACACACCCTTAACCCCACGAATCTCTTGGGAGTGGAGGCAAGAGGGTTGCAAGTTTGAGACCAGCCTGGAAAACTTAGCAATTTAGCAAGACCCTGTCCCAAAATAAAGGGACTAGGGATGGAGCACTGTGTGAAAATCCTGGGTTCAATCCTCAGTACCACAAACACATGCACATACAGGAGGGGGAGGGGGAGAGGGAGGGAGGGAGGAAAAGGAAAGGAAAGGGAATGGAAGGGAGTGGAGGAAGGGGAACAGAGAGAGAAAAAAAGAAGGAGGGGAGGGAAGAGACAATACTGCATGAATTTATGTTCTTAATTTTTCTTTAAATAGTAATCTCCTATAGTACGAGACCACATCTAATTTTTTTTAAAGGCTTTTAATTCTACCTTCCCCGAGAACCCAACACATTCCCCAGCACTTGAATACTTGTTACATGAATGAATCTTGATGGGAATATTTTCAAAAGCAAATGTTCAGAAATATGTGTAGCATAGCAATTGTTCTAACATTATTATGTGTCTACAATTACCTGCTTTCTGAGAAGTCAAGGGAAAGGAAAGCTTTATCGCTTCCCCTTGTGTACACTCAGTAGGCTGAAGCAGAGCGCAGGTGCTCCGCAGGCTCCAAGAGGGTGCTCATGAGGGAGGCCAGGTCACAGTGTGGGACACAGACCGCCGCCTCTGCTTCCGGGAAGGACCCCAGCTCTGCTCCTTCGGTGTACACAATTGTAGAGCTCAGAGAGCTGGATGAATGCAAATAACTGGTAATAATAAATAGCTCTCCCTGGGGGAAAATGCTTGCTTCCTAACACAGGGCTTCTCCCTTTCACACAAAGAAGTGACGTGACACATGTCAGGCAATAGATGACCCAGGACCCTGGGAGGAGCAAGGGCTGTCCTCAAGGGCTGAAGGATCCCAGGACAACTCTTTCTGCATACCTGGCCGTTCATGTGTAGCATTTTAATTAAAGTCTATACTTTATTTTCTGCAAGTGGGTGTGCGGAGAAAATTTTCTGTCATTTGAAAATTAAAGGCTAAATTGTGACAGTTAAAGCTCATGCTCCAGAGGGGAAAGTCATTTAAATTTTCAGTTGGTGATTATAATACTGGCTCCCGGAAGTCCGATATAACTTGCTGTTGTTCAGTTCTGAACTATACGATTATATTGTGGTTGTTTATACATTGCTGTGGTTGTTGATATTTCTCAGAATACAAAATCTGAATCATTTATGTTATACAAATTACTCAGAATGTTTCCTGACAAGAGGTAGGATAATTTGGGGATGAAGCAGTGAGACTAAACAGGTAGACTTGGGTTGTAGGAGCCTTCTCGCTATATGCCTGCTTCTAGGCAAGAGGTGCTATCAGAGAAGCGAGAAAAATTTCTATACCATATGCTCACAACTCAGTGATGATAGTGTCAACATACTCTTTTATAGGCTTTTCCCTTTTAAAAAGGATCAAATCACACTTTAATTTCTCAGAATGTTTTTTTCATTTTCTGTAGTGTTTATTTTTGGAATGAAGCTCCTTTATCAATATCTGCTGATGATTTACATGGATGAAAATATATTTCATGTTTATCTGTGCTCACATACATGTGTCTTTGTACTGGGTGATTTTGTAAGATGTATTAATTTTTATGTCTGAAATGTATTAAATGCTTATTCTTTCTAATCTCTGAATTTTAAAAAATTTTGAATATAAAACACTAGTATTTTATTATTACATGAAATACGTGCCTAATAGCCAAGGTTGTCATTCTGCTGCACTTTGAATATGAAGGAATAGACTACTGTTTCCATGTCCATCCTCTCTGCTCCTAGGCACCTGTGCTCCGGTGGAGGAGCCCAAAGGCTTTCACTGGCCGCCCAGCCCGCCTTCTGAGCACAGCCTCCCGTGTCCCGACAAGCCGGGCTTCTCTGTTTCACGGACATGGTAACACTTTGGTTGACTTTGCCAGGCAGTAGTTCTCACGCATTGTAGTGATTGGGAGGCAGGGCAGCAATCTGTATGTCTCTCAATCTTTCCCTTCTGGGAAGTGGAGATAAGATTAGTAGGTTACCCAGAACGGCAGTGTTTTCCCCAGCACTCTGCCAAATGAGCCCTCTGCAAAGAGACTGAGGAATTAAGAGAGGCAGAATGGGTCCAGAGCGCTGCAACTTGTGTGTGGATAAACCAGCTTTCAGCCTCATAATAAGCACCTGGAATCCCAGAACTTTCTATTTGGAGAGGAGAGAAAAGCAAACAGGGAATGGAAACAGAATCAGTCGTGGGGCAATTGATGATGAACACATTCAGGGTATAGAAAATTTTCCCTGAATGTCTAACAGAAACAGCAGAGGAAAAACAGTTGCAGGGATTCACTGCACCGCAAGGCCAGTCTAATTCTCACCACGCGCTCTACTCCCAGTCAGGGTTTCCTTGGAGGGGATTCAGAAAGGGAAACTGCCCAAGTGTAAGTACTTTGCATTCAAATGCTGTGCTGGACACTTGGTAGGGAGGGGAGAAAAGAGCATTAGAGATGTATGGACTGGGATTGGAAATGTGGCCCTACCTCTTCCTGGCTGGAGACTTTAGAAAACTACTGGGTTTATCTAAGTCCATTTCCTTATCTATAAGATATGTATTATAATTTGCATTCCAGAGTTATGTGAAATCAAAATCAGATAGTACCTGTAAAGTTCTGAACGCCGTATTTGACCAATTATCCAGGCTAGGTTACAGGGCATTGCTAGGGCTTTGTTTCTTTGATGTAGGTTATTGATTTTCTTCCAGCATGGATTCTTGTTATGAGTTTTATTTAATGTATTACAGATTTATTTTGAAATGAAACCTACTAGGTATTAAGGAAAACCCTAAAATGTATTGATTTTGTCACTTATCCCAAGTATTTGAAATATCTTTTTTGTTGTTTTATAGTTATCGCAACACATCATTAGCCTTTTGGGGACCCCTTGATGTCTCCAACTGTTCAAGTAAGTAAGAAATTTCTCTTCAGTTCTAAAAGACAAAATGAAATGAATTCATGGTTTTCATCTTATTTGATGTGTGCTGCTATTTTAATATTAAAAATTAGGCAAATGATTGTTTCATTTAAGTTACAAAATATTTTCTCCTTTCATTCTTTGTTTTATTGATTCTGTAGATTAAAATAGTAAGAAAATTCTAGAGAAGACTTAGAAATAATATGTAAATTGCTATTTTTATCAATCCTGTATTGACATTTTTGAAACAGCAAATGTACACTTACTCATTGATTCTGGGGCCGTTTCTTTAAGATGATATGTGAACACTGGTCTCGCTAAGCAATTTGTATCTTGCTAAAGAGAGAGATTACTCTGTGTGTAGAAGGAGATATTGTAACCCCATGCAGATGGTGAGAGGGAATTCACACAGCCACCCCATTTTCCTGGTTCAGCTATAAAGTGAAATATCACATTATGCTTTGGATTCCTGAATGTGCTTAAAATGCACAGGTAAAACTGTGTGTTGTTTCTTCTGTCTTTTTTAGGGGAAGCAAATGAAGTTGCCAATCAGATTTTAAATTTAACCACTGATGGGCAGAACTTAACTTCAGCCAATATTAACACCATTGTAGAACAGGTCAAAAGAATTGTGAATAAAGAAGAAAATATTGATATAACACTCGGCTCAACTCTAATGAATATATTTTCTAATATCTTGAGCAGTTCAGATAATGACTTGCTTCAATCTTCTTCCGAGTAAGTATCACTTTCTTCTCTTTCTAGAAGGTAAAATTTACTGGCTAAATGTAGTTTTACATAATTCCTCACCTGTCTGAGTGCCCTGTGCCCAGACATCATAATTCAAATCTCTGGAAGAAATCTAGACCATTCCCAAGGACATTCACAAAGTGAACTTCAAAGTTCTCTCTCTTTTTTTTTTTGAGAAATAGGATTTACAAAATAATTAGAGCTGTCATCTGGCAAGCATGTAAATAGTCCCCCCCAGAGCATAATATATTTATTGTTTGAAGAATTCTATGGGGACATGAATAGCATGGCCATTTTAAGTGAACTGTCATATGAACTGTGCCACAGAATTGCACAGCACTGTGTCCTTCTAAAATGAAAATAAATGCACAGGGCAGGTGAAAAGGTACCCATTTTTATAGAATGCAACTTATATATATTTAATATGTATTTGATATATTAACATTAAGCCATTTAATGTTATCTGTTTCCATCTTTTCAACCACATTTTAAATGAACATACTATATCCATTAAATGTATGTCTTGTGATCAAAATACATGTTTATATTTTTTTAAAACTTATTACAGTAAAAACGCATTGCCATTAATTCCTCTCAAGCTTCCCTTACCTTCAAACACACTTACCCCATCATTCTTGCCACTCTCTGAAGCAGTTCTGGAAGTCCTCTTTCAAGAGTGATTTTATGAGATCGGCTCAAAATATGGCCATTGCAGGTGCCAAGTGCCATCTAATGGGAAGGCTGGGTTGTAAACATATTATGGTGTGTCCTCACCTGCCTTATTCACTGGATCTAGCACCATGTGACTTCTTTTTTTTCCCAAAGTCAAGGTAACTATGAGCACTAAACATTTTGAATTGATCCAGGACATTAAGGCAGCTGTAGCAGTGTAAATAAAGACACTCACAAAAGAGGACTTCCAGAAGCTCTTTAGAAAGTGGCAAGAATGATGGGATAAGTGTGTTCCAAGTGAGGGGGGAGTATATTGAGGGGAATCATGTTCAAGTACATAAAACATTGTGTTCCTTAACAGTGGTATTATTTTCATCTCTTTAAGAGCTTTAAAAACAATTGATGAATTGGCCTTCAAGATAGACCTAAACAGCACACCACATGTACATATTACAACACGGAATTTGGCTCTTGGAGTATCATCCCTGACCCCAGGAACAAATGCAATTTCAAATTTTAGCATTGGTCTTCCAAGCAATAATGAGTCATATTTCCAGGTAAGGAGCCAGTGGTTTCTTTAATTTTAATTAATTAGATAAATAGAAACTTTCTAATCACTTAACAGTTGTTACTTCAAGGAAATGTTGGTGAAAGAAGTGACAAGCAGATCTGAACATTAGCTAAGTTTACATCAGCAGCCATAATGTTATGTGGAAGCACATAGGAGTTACCGGGGTGGTGGAGGACACCTTCTACAAGAAGTGATATGGAGCTAAGCAAGGAAGCATGGATAGGGGCCGCCATATTGGGAGTGAGTGTGAGGACCAGGTAGTGAGAAGGAACTTTATTCACAGCTCATGGTGGGAAGAATCAGGGGGCCTTCTCTTTGGCAGTGGGTCTCAAAATGAGCATAGACACCCTGGAAGACTTGTTAAGACTGACGAGCTTCTCAGTTCATAGGTGCTGAGTAGGGCCCTGAAATTTGCACTTTTAGCAAGTTCCCCAATAATTGCTGATACCTCTGGCCTCAAGATCACACTTTGAAAACCAATAATGTAGATGTCTTGGAACAATAAGTGACAGCGAGGCTGGACAAGCAATCAAGGGCCAGTTGACTGGAGTGCCTCCCGGACATGGTAGAATCAGACTTCAGTATGTAATTTTCAGGCACCAACTACACACCAGACAATCCTCACTCACCACCAGGCCGAACAAAGTGAATGCACCATGATGATTCCTGACCTGGGAGAGTGTATGTGAAGCATGCTATTTCTTAAGATGGGTGATAGAATACATGAAAATAGAGAAAAGTCTGGGACTAGGATCAGACAAGACCATTTTTCTCCTTGACTAGAGTCTCTTCGGGGCAATTCTCTTTTCATGTTTTGAGAATGAAAACTCTTTTGGCCTCAGTCTCATGCCAGGAGTACATGAAAGCAAGCTCACCTCAAGTACAGTTTCAGGAAAAATGACATCAGACAATATCCTTAAACTTCAGCTGTTGCTTCTTTGTAGAGGCAGTTCCGTCTCTACTGTCAAACAATTATCTTCAGGGTTCTGCTCTGTCTCATAGTTATTATCTTTCCCTGTTTTGAATAAATCTCCATCCATGTATGATGCCACTATATTTAATTCTCGTACTTGAAATGTGGACTGATTTGTATATTTCTCAGTTTTCCCCAGTTAGAATCAAAGCATTTCTTGCTTGCCCACATATATAAACCCAGAATTAGACCTCCGTTTCCATCTACAGCAAATTTATCTCAGAGTTGCAGAGATGGCTGTGTAGCAGTGAAGGGCAAACTTGGTCCAAGCTAATTGGGTACTTGAATTTGTTCTTTCACTTAGAATAAGTTATCATTACCGTGTCGTTGTGATTGATCCACTGATTTATCTCTATTTGACAGATGGATTTTGAGAGTGGACAAGTGAATTCATTGGCTTCTGTAATTTTGCCTCCAAACTTACTTGAGAATTTAAGTCAAGAAGATTCCATATTAGTTAGAAGGGCACAATTTACTTTCTTCAATAAAACTGGACTTTTCCAGGTAAACCTTCATTCATTTATTTTTCAATTGCCATTGAAGTTTCTTTTCTTGGAGGTAAAAAGAAAAATTCAGATTCCTGTGAAATATATCATAAAATATAGAAAACTTAATCTACTTCATTTCCAAAAGTAAAGCACTGTAATTGTTTAAATATTTTATTTCAGATAATATTCTTATTAACATGATAAAGTAATTTTAAAAGTAAGTCAAATATTAGGCTAAAACTTGTGTGATACAACTAGAAGTTGAGTTAGTAAAGAAGTAACTGTTCAGTATTCCTTTGATTAAATATCATATGTTCTTTGGTCAGTTAGACTTAGAGTTAAAGAAATTGTACACCAAAGGAAAGGATTTTTTTTTTTTAAGTTCGGCAGGAAGCACTGTTTACATAATGAGCAGCATTCTTGGCTTTAATCAGTTTTCCCATTAGTATTTCAAGTGACCTCTGGCCCTCACACATCCGCAGACTAGGGTGGCATTGTGCTGAGCACATATTATAATTTTTATTGGCATCAGTTCTAGATCCTAGAAGGTCCGCTGCCAGCAAACACTGGTGACCTCTGGTTGCCTCTGTTAGTACAACAGCGTCTAGAGCAGTTTGGCTGAGTTCTTTCCTAAAAATAACAGTTATATATTAAATCTAAAATACCAGCCTATGTCCAGCGGTGCAACTATGTAGAAGAAAGTTCTAAGTCTCAAGGAGGACAGTAGAATTGTTTCTAATAGACCCACCATGTGTATCATGCATACTGGAAAGGCCAAATAAGTTTCAGGTAAAGAAAAAGAATACCATAGAGAGAAATATATAATTCTAGAATGTTATGTGCAAATGTTTTATACTGACGGATTTGTGATTATATAATACAATTTATTTTATATAAAACATGTTATCTGTAAAGCATTTTATAGCTATGAATACATACACCTGCATTTGTTAAAATTATTATAACTTGAGACTTATAGTAATGTCACATTAAAAAATCCTATTAAGTATAAAAGAGGTGTCACATAATATGAATGATACAGAGAAAGGGTCCAGTGAGGAGGAGAGGTTTCCACTCTTAGTGTAGTAAGGATCTGTTATTGTTTCGGGTCAGATCTTCTCCACAGCATTTTTCCTCCTCATTGGGCATCTTCCAATCAAAGTTATTATTAAGAAGCATACTTTTGGCTTTTAAAGTAAATTTATAGCAGAATAAAACATTTTAAAGTCTGTATGGTATTCCCCTAACAGAATGAGTAAGATAGGAGGCTGAGTATCACTGGCCAATTTTTAGTATTTTTGATAGTGATCATCATAAAATGTAATTTAAGAAGCTGTATTTTGGATGGTGAGGTTTATTTGGAATTTAAGAAATTGTACAGTTATTCCAAAACGACTAATTTATAAGCTGTGGTGCAGAAAGAAATTCAGAAGGTTTGACAAAAAATACAAGTGAAAGACAAGAAAAGAACTTGCTGAAGAGAGGGCCTGTCTGTCCAAACCGGTTTGCAGCACGTTTGCTGACTTGATTTCCCAGCCCCTTATCGCTGCGGGGGAATCTGCAGCTGCTGGCACGTACACAGTCACAGAAGGTGGAACTCTGGATGGGACTTTAATGGAGTGGAATTGCGTTTGGGTATAAGCAAACACATCAGGCTGTTGGCATGGATGTGAAAGATGAATTGCTTTTTATTTTTCACACCATATTTCCTTCATACTCTTCTAAAGGAAAACAACTTCATCTGTTTTCTAGAGCAGGGAAATGATCTAATTGTTTCACAGCTTTTTATGAGTTTACATTATTTATGGGTTTGCATTGTTTCAGATGTTAACCAGCTGACATCAGTCACTACAATCAGTAGCTTTATGGACATTGCTTTATAATATTGGCTCAGAATGTCCCTTCAATGTATTTATTATAATAAGGGAAATAGCACAACTCCTTCAGGAAAGCCAGTAATTTGATGTTATAAACAGGATGTTCTAGAATGGAAGATTTTAAGTGTAAAAGTTGCTGACAGTTTGCTTACTTTGGAGCACGAAAGCAAAATAAGAGTGTATATGTCTGACTAATGCACACTATTCATTTTTTTTTCTTTAAAAGGATGTAGGACCCCAAAGGAAAACCTTAGTGAGTTATGTGATGGCGTGCAGTATTGGAAACATTACTATTAAGGATCTGAAGGATCCTGTTCGAATTAAAATCAAACATACGAGAACTCAGGTAAGAAAATAATACAAATAGAAATTGAACAGTGCAACTATTTTAGTGTTTTGTGAGAGCCTTCCCACCACATAATCAAAGGCAACTGGCGCTCCTTATGGATAGGGAATGTATCTTCCAGAAGGGAGAACCGGTTGTCAGGCAGTGCTCTGTTCACAGTAAAAGCAGCAGCTAGAGGAGATTTGGTCTTGCTTGGGTCTCAATAACCAGAAACAAGAATGGGAGTGAAAAAAGAGGCCGCTGCTCTTAAGAAATGACGTATACTGCTTCAAATAAATTGAGCGCAGATGCAATTGCACCATTCTGTCATTAGAGGTTTTGATTATGTCTTTATGTTTCTAAAGTCAAAGCTAATTGCAGCTGGGAAAATCAAGGGGGAAACAGGAGGGGATGGACTTAATCCTTTAAGAGATTAGCAGCTGCTAAAAATCTTGGCAAGTTTTCTCTTGCTTCATTATCCTTGCTGTCATCTGTTTATGTGGTAGAGTTAGGTGGGAAATCTTACTGCCCCAGTGGCCCAGGTACTGGATTTTTACACTTTTGTAGAGGGTCCCAGTCATGATCCTGCCATGTATTGGAGAAGCAGGAAGGCAGGCAGGAAGTAAACAGACTGATAAGCAGGAAGGATCTGTGTTAAACCAGCAAAGAACCCGCCATCCTTTGTCTCGAACCCTCAAAGACCTCCTGGATCTACCCTCAACCTCTTTTGTTTTCAGCCCTGTCATCAATAACATTTTAATTATTTTAAACTATACATTCAGTGGTGTTGCGTATATTCACATTGCTGTGCAGCCATCATCACCATCCATCTCCAAACAAAGCTCTGTTCCCATTAAGCACGAACTCCCTATTTGCTTGTCCCAACAGCCCCTAGCAACCTTCTACTTTCAGTCTCTGTTAATTTGACTCCTTTAAGAAGTATCTCATAGAAGTGGAAATACACAGTAATTTCCTTTGGGGACTGGCTTATTTGTCTTAGCATCGTACCTTCAGGAATCATCTGTACTGTAGCAAGTGTCAGAATTTCCTTCCATTTTAGGGATGGACGATACTCCATTATAGGTGTATGTCACATGTTGTTTATCCATTCATCCATCCATGGACATTTGGGTTGCATTTACTATTTGTCTGTTGTAAATGGTACTACTAAATACTGTGCATGCAATTATCTCAGAGTCCTGTTTTAATATATCTCCAGACATAGGAGTGCATTTTGAAGGTGATGGGAAATTACAATGTAAAGTGCTTTGCCAAGAGCTAAGAATGATAAAGGATTTAGTATTTAATGATAGGACTGCAGAAAAATAGTGATAAACTGCAGATAAATGGGTCACGTGATTCTTCATGAGGTCATAGTTGATCTTCACCTGAAGTCTCTACGTGAAAGAAGATCACCTCTGATATTCTTAGGTCGTCTGATGCTGATCTATTTCTTTGTAAAACCATAGGCATGTTCATTCTCTTGAAACATTTTGATCATATGATTTTAAGTTATTTTAAACACAAGTTCACATATTTATTTTTATGTTAATATAGGAAGTGCATCAGCCCATCTGTGCCTTCTGGGATCTGAACAAAAACAGTAAGTTTTTAAAATACAGATTTTCTTAATATAGACGAGAACTGAATTTTAAGCACTGTTACACACCCCCGTTTCCTTTCATTCTGCCTCAAAAAACAAAATGAGTCACAGTATAAGTGTAAGGGCAAATGAACTACAAAATTTAGTTTAAGACAGCTTGGTGAGTCAGTTATAATTGCTGTAACTTTTCAGCCTTTGCACAAAGCAATACACATACTTGACTCTTTTCTCTCTTTTTTTGTAATAAAACAACCTCTTCAATTTCAGTTATTTGTGAAATACACTACATGGTTTTGTTGCCACTTTTAGCTGAACAGAGACATATGCATAATCTCATTATTCTAGAACACATTTGAGGGGATTATTTGACATTCCTAAGACATACAATTAGAAATGCGAGTTCCAGGTCTCAAACTGTGAAGTGATGGAAGACACACTAAAGGAAGATAAACACTGGGCTCAGAATGGTAGTAAGGGACATGGATTACTGGAAAGAAATGAACAGCCTCCAAAATGGCATTTAACATCCAAGAAAGGAAAGTAAAATTAAAGGAAAAGCAAATCATTAGGCACAGGTGTGTAAATCCTTTTGAAGAACAGTAGCAGCGATGAAATTTCATGGTTTTGCACCCAGAGGGTTACCTTCCCTCAGGGTCCCTCACAAGATTATTGTAGCCAAATCAGTACTGGCATCATGTAGCCATATTTAAAATATATATATACCCTAAAAGTGCCTTCAACCCCTTTTTTTGATAATCCTTGTTGGAGGTGGGCAGTGTTGTTCTTTAGTGTATTACTTGCACAGTTTTGAGGTCCTGATTTACTCATGTACTGTACATCATTAGAAAAATTATCTGTATCTTAAAATATCATTCAAATAAATGGATCCAATATTTTAACAATGCGCGAGTTGCTCATAGGTCATATTATACCATACAAGTCACCTAAGATTCATTCAGATTATTTGTAATAAATCATTACCATGTGTGACTGCTGTGTACATAATTGCATCTTCTGAGAAACCAGATCTACTTTGTTCTTACATCTTCACAGAACTGTAAACTGATCTTGGGTTATGTTGGCCTCCAACGAGTTCGTTAGCATGTAACATATTCAAAAAGATTATTCCTTTAATAGACATTTATTTTTATAAAAGTTCAAAGTTAAACTTGAGTCAAATATCTGAAGAAGCCCTGAGGTACTTCAGTAGAACACACCGACTAGATAATCTCTCTCTGCCTGCCCAGCACTAACATTTCATGATTCTAGTAATCTGTATTATTCTAGGTATTGGTGGCTTTAGAAATGATATTTAGGAACCTGAGGCAAGGGATCACAAGTTTGAGACCAGTCTGGGTAACTTGGTGAGACCCTGTATCAAAAAATTTAAAAAATAAAAGATCTAGGTAGATAGCTTATGGTAGAACAACCTTGGGCTTCATCCCCAGTAAAGCCCGCACGCACACACACACACACACACACACACACACACAATCACACACAGAGGTTGTATCCCTCTTACAGATAAATTCTACAAAGCAGGAGGAACTGAAGTAAATCTCCCTGAAGACGTTCTCATCCCATGTAGAAAAGTCACTGACCTGATGTTGTTTTCTCACTCTTTGTCGATTCCTCCCACAGAGAGTTTTGGGGGATGGAACACGTCAGGATGTGTCGCTCACAGAGATTCAGATGCCAGTGAGACCATCTGCTTGTGTAACCACTTCACACACTTTGGGGTCCTGATGGTAAGGGGGAGAGCTGGTGCTCATCTGATGTGGTATTTCAGAAAGCATATTTGGTTTTGTGTGTCCACCTTTTTAGATTATGTTTTCTGGGAATTAGTTCCTGGTAATGTTCATCTATACTCTGAATCTTGATTCTTAAACAATAATCTAATTAGCAGATAGCATCTGTTATAATTATGTGAAGGTAATTATAGAAAAGAACTCTGTTCTTTTCATAGTAATAAGAGGTAAGATAGATAATTTTAGAGAAAAAAAGAGTCAAGGAGACAAGGAGATAGAGAGGAAAGGAGGGAGAAAAGTTAAAATGTTGGTTATTACTAAGATAGAAGAAAATTGTGAAGAGGTCCATCAAAATTTTTCTTCCTTCGGTTATGCCTCAGTATATTTGACTCTTACTTTGTACCATGACAGTGCGACAGGTGATTTCCCCTCCTGGAGATTAGAGTTGTGATGATGGATTAGTGACTCAAGTTAGCATGGAGACTTTAATCTTGCAAGAGGGATGATGGGAATGGCATTTCTCTCATGCTCAGGACTTCAGAGCATTCTTCCTTCCTTCCTCCTTTCCCATGGCCCTGCTTTTTATCTCATTAGCGCATATACCCAGCAGTTTCAATGAATAAGTAGATCACATCAGTGTGTGTTTTCACCCCACCAAGTCTTCAAGATCCACCCCATCCAAGGACTTGTTTGAATTCATTTATGGTACCACACCTTTACCTTTTATCCTGTACATTTGTGTCTTTGAGAACATTTTTCTGATATCTAGAGCACCATCCATATTGTAACAACCATTGTTTCAGTATAGTTTCTAAGAAGGGACCGACCACATTTGTTTTTTTAATAGGATATGGGAGTAATGTCAGCTGAGGCATTAAAGCTTTTCCAATTGGAAACACAGACATGAGCTTGTGTTTATCCCTTCCCTTAAATCTTACACCCTCCTTCCTGTGGGGACTGGGAGGAACCAGTGAGGAACTGTGGGATGTAGTACTTGGCTCGTGAACTACTTGGCCTATGCAAGTGGACATTGTCGTATGGCAGCTTTGCAAGTTGTAATTTTCCTGACAACCCAGGACATAAATTCTCTGAGGGATAAGAATAAGTCATTGAAAAAGGTGATAAATCACAGAGAATAACTTCCTAATGGCCGTACAATATGAATATTTTTATCTAGTGGTAGAACATGAAAATGAACAATTAAATGGTAGCACATTTTCCCTTAGCAATGTAAAAAGAAATTTAAATCTCCTTTTATCTTCTCCTTTCTTAAAAAGTGATAGGTATTCTTTGATAAAATAACCTATTTTGCAAGATTAGTCATTCAGGCATGTAAGCTATAGCTTAATTTATTTAAACATTTCTATTATATGTGAATATGATTGTGTGTTATAATATTATAGAGGTAATAAAAATAAATTAATTACTCAGAGATACGTATACAACCAGATTTTAGTTGCCCATTGCTTTGACTCTCCAGACCCTTTGTATATTATGAGTTTGTAACTTGCATATTACTTTTATATTCCCATCTGATTAAACAATTTATTTTGTGTGTGTGTGTATATATATATATATATATATATACACACACACACAGAGAGAGAGAGAGAGAGAGAGAGAGAGAGAGAGATGCATTTTTCATGTTATCTTTCCATTTTCCATTTTGACTGCATGTGTCAGATTATAAACTGCTGGAAGAAAAACTTTCCAAAATTTATCTTTTTTGGCAATATGTCCATATCCTTTCAGCGCTTTCCAGACCACCAAGACATTGCAAAGAGTTTTTCTTGCTAGACAAACTCTTTATTCACTTGTATATTACCAGAGTCTAAAATTTCCCATGACACAGTCACCCATAAATGTATCTTCTAACCTACAAATGTGTGCAGAATATAATACCCTATGCTATATTTCTCTGTAGTAAAACTTTCATATTTGTAACATTAGTATATTTTGATGTTGGCAAATCTAGAGCAATAGGTACTTTTATATTTTAATTCTCTGTAAATATAAAGCAACATAAAAATTCTATGTAAATAGATATCAGTGAACAGAATTGTTCAATTTTTATTTTGAATGCTGGGTTTTATTGATTGTGGTCCACAGGTCAGTTGCTTTACCTAGTTAGGAGCAGAGGTTTTAAAAGAGCCAGGGACATGTCCCTTGCAGGTCCCCCAAGTCCATGGTCCAGTTCTCTGGCCCATGAGATCTTGGAGTAACTAGACTGTTGCCCAAGGCAGCCCATCTGGAGCTCAGTAATGCCAACTGGACACCCATCCCATATGCTGTCCATCTCCGTGTCCTCGCAGGGTTTGAGAGACTCCTGAGATAACAAGAAAGCAGGAGTCCTTCTGACTCACGAGTTCCTGAGTGCTTATTTCTGTCACTCTGTGCACTTCTCCGTGTTACAAAGTTACTGTACCCATTCCTTACTGTGTCAGTCATTTCGCACACATGTAGGTGCACACCCGCACTGTGTACTTAAGCCTATGTGTAAGTAGCAGATTTTCTGACATTTTTTAAAGAAAATTAACATATAGCAGGAAAAATCTGTTACAGTTTTTTGCAAGAGAATCTAGAGGTTTACATTGGATGTTCAATCAACCCCATTTCCAAGAAGCCTCCGTTTTTGAACAGGTCCATGTTTGAAGCAACTTTTTCATCCAACCATGATTGAGTGGCTGGTCTTACCTTAAGATGTATCCCTATTCTAACCCCCCATTTAAGGAAGAAAGAGATTTTCCTACCATGTCCAGTCTGCCTGAACACAGTGAAATTAATGACTCATATCTTAATATACTGAAAAATATTGACTTCTGCCACTCCACAGTGCCCCCCCACACACTTTAAATTGTGCCCTTTCAGATCTGTAGGGAAAAAAAAAAATACAACCTAAACATTCTTAGCATTTATTTTTAAAAATGTTTAAAACTTCCCCATTATATATACCAGACTTTGAAATGACCATGATTAGAAGCCCCAACACCACCATTAGAGCCAGACACTCATAGCCACCAGCGCCAGGACCTTGTGCTTGCCAGGCAGGAGTTGTGCCGCTGAGCTGCATCCCTGGCCCTAACGCCAGCTTTTCTGAGGACCTCTCACCTGCAGAGAATCTAAGGTGCCAAGGGTTTGGCCATGAGGCTACAGTAGCCTCCATTTGCACTCATGCCCTCAGTTGTGGGAATAGAGAAATGGGCCTGATGGCTTATTAGGCAAGGGAGCTCCCTGCTCTCCAGTTTCCCTTGGGAGACTGGGTGGTTTTGCTGTTCAAGTTACATTGCAGACACAAGCTTGGGCAAGAAGATAAAGATCCCAAACAGCGTGGACCTCCTTCCAATAGTAATGCTGCATTTTCCTCTCCCATACTGATCTGCCAGTGTGCAATAAATGGGACTGCAGTGTCGACGTCTTTTGCTGTTCACGTCCTCTAAGAGTGAGCTGCTCTGAGGCCAGCACTGACTTTCTAATGACACAGAACACCTTTCTTATACGAGAGGAATTCTTAGAACTGTTTGCCATGTTTTGTGCAGGACCTTCCAAGAAGTGCCTCCCAGATAGACGCAAGAAACACTAAAGCCCTCACATTCATCACCTATATTGGCTGTGGAGTGTCTGCTATTTTTTCAGCAGCAACTCTCCTGACATATGTTGCTTTTGAGTAAGTATTTTTCTGTCTGCCAAGCCCAGTGCTAACTGTTCCAAATATGAATAAGAAAATTGCGTTGGCTTTGAAGAACAATCATACACTTTGTGAATCATGTCGAGCCGTCCAGTTTTAATGTTCAGGCTTCTCACAGGATCAGACAACATGAATTTTCCAGCTGTAATTACTGTGTTAGTATTTATAAAAAAACTTCAAATCTATTAGAGATGGTTAACACTTAAGTAAATATAGTTGTATAAAATACTTTCTACATTGTAAAAGGTGAAATTGTCTGCTTCAGAAATCTTATAAAATTAGTCCTGAAGCAGAAAAAAAAACATTTAAAGGGAATTTTAAATTCACTGAAACATCAAAAAAGTTTAGGGAATTGTTTTTAAATAAAAATGTCATTCTTATAACTCTGGAATTTTTCCTGGATTGAAGAAAACCTGTGGAAACCAGTTGGGAATTCTGCAAACAATTGGAAACAGTTTTAGAATAAAATTAGTATTTAAAAAGTCTTTATAACGTGCCAAATACCCATAAATTTCTTTAGCTCTCCACATAGTAGACCCCTGTCATGAAGAGTGGGATTACCTAACCTACTGCAGAGTTATAGAAGATATGAATTTGCTCTCATGTTTAAAAAATTTATTTACAACATTCATTCTGGTCTTTTTTTAAAGGAAATTGCGAAGGGATTATCCCTCCAAAATCTTGATGAACCTCAGTTCAGCCCTGCTATTCCTGAATCTCATCTTCCTGCTGGACGGCTGGATCACGTCCTTTGACGTGGATGCACTGTGCACGGCAGTGGCTGCCTTGCTGCACTTCTTTCTCCTGGCCACCTTCACCTGGATGGGGCTGGAAGCGATCCACATGTACATCGCTCTGGTTAAAGTATTTAACACCTACATCCGCCGCTATGTTCTCAAATTTTGCATCATCGGTTGGGGTAAGCATCCTACATGCTTTAGTTTTGTTCTGTCAGGAAGATTGCCTCCCCTCAATGCTCATAGGAGAACCCTTGTTTCTAAAGAACAGCGCTGCAAACATTGTGACTGATGTGCATGATATGTCCTAAGGCAGGGGCATCCTCAGCACTGCATTTGTAAAGCTCTCTGAATTCAGGAGGAAAGGAAAGCCTTAGTACCTGAGTCACCACAGACTCATTTCCTGAGCCCAGAGCCAGCCCACCCAAGTCTGCAGAAGCAGCTGGCAGACCACGGTGCACTTCCATGATGCTTCCAGATAGAAAGGCCAGCTGGGACTCCGAGCTGTCCTCATCCGGACACATGCCCATGCTGTGGAAGCCAGAGAAAGAATGTTATTTTTTTATGTGCAACCAAGATATTTACACAGTTCTTGCCTTGAACTCTTTAACGCCCATCCTCGGTCAGACATGGAATGGTTGTGTTAGCCTGTTTGGAGTCTTCTCTTTGGGCTCCTTTCTTTTTCAGGGTTTCATGTTGGGCTAGGCATTTTAGAACTTTCTCACAATTATTTTTTCAGATGGCAATAAAGATCTTCAGTGCCCCTTTCGGAGGCAATAAACACATCTTTCAGGGAATTGGGGTGGCATCCACTTCCCCACTGAAATATGTGTGGGAATATTTCATTGAGTCTCTGGAGAGAATAAAGAAGACCATAAAGTCTTGATACCCCTGTTGTTTTTCTTCCACTTTTTCTAAATTCTTTGCTTTATATAAAAAAGGGCAAAATAAGTTTCACTTACTTTATCATGCTGTAGAGATGACAGTGCAGTGTCATCAATGAAAGTACATTTGCTGGTGCTGGATTCAGATCCTACAGTCTCCCCTGGGTATCACTGAGCAAACAGAAAATTAGCCTTGGAAAAGTAGATTCTGACTGCTCCCAATTAGGGTTGGTAATTCCACATCAAGGAGAGGATTTTGTTGCTGGTTTTAACCAACTTGCCAGTTCTATGAAGTTGGAGTCTGATATGTAAGGTTTTCTTTCTTTCCTTCCCTTTCCTTGTCATTATAGTACTTATAAAACAGTTCCTCATGCTTCAAGAGAGCCATCCGTGTCTTATCTCTTTATAACAGGTTTGCCTGCCTTAATAGTGTCAGTTGTTCTAGCAAGCAGAAAACAAAACGAAGTATACGGTAAAGAAAGTTATGGGAAGGAACAAGGTGATGAATTGTAAGTAATGTGAACGTCTGTGGAATTTATTTTTGATGAGTATATCTATTTTGTTTCTGGAGTTTGCTGTAAATTTCTGTACAGTTAGTGAGGCACTCATTTTGAAAGGCTTTAGTGTACTGGCATTTCTTGGTCAGGGTCCATACCACCAATTAATTCGTTTGAATGATCTGAAATAGTTGAGCTGCTTTTCTCTATTAACATTATATTCTGTCATTTGGGAGAATTCAAAAGAAGCTTAAGCTGCCTTCTATCCTGAGAAGACTCATTCTATTTGAGGAGTTTCCGTAATACTCCTACCTTCTCAAGCCCACACACATCTTGAAGAGAGTTAAATAGCAATATCAGATAGTGAACAATTCAGCGACAGCATAAGTGTTATGTAGAAACACAGTAAATGCTTTCATTAATTAGCATTTACTGTAAGCCAGGAATTGTGTTACATTCTAGGAGTCAAAGATGTTGAAGGCAGTTTTTACCTTTGTGGAAGTTATGTTCTAGTGTGGAATACTCCAGAATGATGACCATGTATATGTTTTAACATGAATTTTGTTGTATTAAATCATTCATCCCATTTTTGCAACTTACCTAATTTTCACGGTAGAAATTAGGCACTAGGGCATCTGTAAATTATAACTCTGGTCAACTTTGCCCATAGTGTAGTTTAAAATTTTCTTTCTATTACTTTATGATCTATATATCATTCTGAGTATATCCTTTGTTGCAACAAAATGTTTTATAATAAATGTAGCCTTTGTAATTGTGCATGAAAAGTGTTCATATAGGAATCTTACAATGCTACCATAAGGTCTCCCCTCAATTAGACCAATTACATTATTAGGAATCACTTTGTTCACTGTAATGAACCCATAGTTAGGCGTGACTTAAATGACTCTAAAGTAACTCTTCTCACTTGGCACAAGCACGAGGAAGAAATTTGACCCTTCCCATGTGAGTCTGTCAAGATGATTCCCCCAAAAGTCCTTTAGCAGATTCTGGTTCCATAGTGTTTTGTAGAACAGTGTCACACACCCAACCCTTAACAACAAAGGTGAGCAAAAATGAGTGCTGAAATGTGCCATTCTTAGAGCAAAGGCACATAGGAGAAAAGGAGGTTAGACATAGTTTGAGGTGAACCAACCAAGAGTGTTCTCATACCAAATCAGAGTTCAAGAAGTGACCCAGGAATCTTCTACATGTTGACTCAAATAACTAGATATTAAGATGATGTTCAAAACCTTTTCCATCAGGGAAAGATCAAAGAACACACTGAGGTCTAGGAAAGTAAAGGTGTTGAAACTTTCCAAAGGTGTTGAAGAGAAAAATCTGTAGTAGTTCAAACCAAACCAAGAAAAGTCTTACACACAGCATGGTAGTAAAATGCTATTTCTCTCTCATTTCTTCTTTTTTAAGCTGTTGGATTCAGGATCCAGTGGTATTTTATGTCACCTGTGCTGGGTATTTTGGAGTCATGTTCTTCCTGAATGTAGCCATGTTCATTGTGGTAATGGTGCAAATATGTGGGAGAAATGGCAAGAGAAGCAACCGGACGCTGAGAGAAGAGGTTTTAAGGAACCTTCGAAGTGTGGTTAGCCTCACCTTTCTGCTGGGCATGACATGGGGTTTTGCTTTCTTTGCCTGGGGACCATTAAATATCCCTTTCATGTACCTCTTCTCCATCTTCAATTCATTGCAAGGTAAGATAAATGGTACCTGAACAATTTCCACTTTTGAATTTATCATATTTGCTGATAAGCTTCCTTTTGGACAGATGCCCGGTCATTTCTGTGTCACCAATCCAAGTGCACAGGTAACTTTGACCTCCTTTACAGTTTGGCTAAGAGTTGCTGCTCTGCATGAATCCTTGTCTTATACAGGTTTTCCATGCATGTTCAGAAGTGTTTAGTTTCTATTCAGGGACAGAAGCAGTGTACCTTGACCCCTTGGATTTCAAATTAAATACTACTTAATTTAGAAACTCTTGTCTTTTCATGAGATAGAGCTATTAGTTCAATCTAACAAACATTTGCCAATGGTCTTCTTTGTATAAAAACACAAAACTTCCTTCAAGGAATTTTCAGTCACATATCTGATTCCATAGTACAAACTCTAGTGTACTCTGTAATGGATTTAACTTTTTACCCCAGGTGAATATGAATTATTTTTCTGAAAATGAATTTACATTCTTTTAATGTGCCCTATGTTGTTGATAAAAACCCCTAATGTTCAGAAGCATCATGGGGCCAAGAACCCAAGAGAAATTAGATCATACCATTTGGAGTATTTTTGAGCAGAGCAGTGCTAATGGCTTACAGAAGGTCCTGGCTGTGCAGTTGTGTGTGAAAAGGAAGACCACACTAAGGCTGAACAGTCTGAGCCAGGGTGGGAGGCAGGTTTATGCAATACACATGAGGTGCCTAGCCGGGTACCCATACAGGGCTATTCTAAGAAAGGTTTGTACTTAGTTGCAGGGGAGTATGGCTCACTGCTTATGCCCCTGCGTCCTCCCCCAGCTTGTGAACTAAAACAGTGTGTCAAAGACTCTCTGTTAAAAGAATAGATTGTTGGATGTAGGACGGGAAAAACTTTGGGCATGGTCTAAATCCACCCAGGGAATCCTGTGGCATAAATGTGCACTAATTAGTTCAACAGATTTTATTCAGGTTCACTCTCCCATAACAGTGGGAATGTGCAGGCTTGGCTTGGTGTCTTTAGTTGATAGAATAATAAGTGTGAAGTTCATCTCCCGATGTCGGAAACTGAGTATGTAGTGTATGAATGCATCTTCCTTGGGATCTAGCTCTGTGCATTTCTTTACTTCTATAATATACTACATAAAAGAGCCTAAATAAATATTGACAGAAGTGTCTGTTAACATGAGAAATTCCATGGTTTTATATTTCAGGATCAGACATGAAAGGCACGGTGATCTGCCAGCCCAACCTTGGTTCTGCTTTTCGAGTTTCCTGGCAGTGTCCTTAACCTTCAGCAGCTACAGTTGTCTGTGCAGCTCTGTTTCCATGAATAAGAATTGGGATGTTTTATTTTTCCCAGCATGGGTTTCTTGTCAGGAGGGAAAAATGTTGTAAACCATCATCAAGTCAGTGTTCTTCATAAATCACTGACTTTTAAGACTGATTTTTAAATTACATAAACTCAGAACAGATTTCTGCACATTCTGTGATATTAAAAAAAACCCTTCTAAAGAGAATCTAAACTTAAAAGCACAGTGCTTCCACCACCTGCCTCACAAGCGCAAGGACCCGAGTTCAATCCCTGGTACCAAAAAAAACCAGAATAGTTGGGGCTGGGATTTATTTAGCTCAGTGATTCTGGTGCCTGCCTAGCAAGCACAAGGTCCTGAGTTCGATCCCTGGTACCAAAAAATAAAAAATAAATAAAAAGCAGTGATACAGATCACATGAGTCTACCCTCAATTGCTTAGCTGGCCAGGCTATACACAATTTCTTGGGACACTACAGAAAGTTACCTACTAGTTTTTATTGGTGAGTCTTTCTTCCAAGAGAGGCTTTGTTGTTACAAGTTTGTGCTTTATTAAAAGAAGCTTATGGGATTTACACAGTTTAAAGGAATGGCTAAATGACTAAATCATGTACCACATAAGCAAACTTCGTTATATCTTTTCTTTTTTTCTTTCTGAACCTCTTCATTTTAGCAAAATTTTGTCTGTGATCCTTTGCCTCATGGAGCTTATACCAGGCGACACCGACCTTAGTCAAATGCATCACTGCATAGTGAGTGGTATTGAGAATGAGGGACAGAACATGATGTCTGAGCCAAAATCTGAAGGATCGATAGGAATTAACTAGGGGAAAGGCGGGGAGTGGGCAATATTCTATCTCAGGTAGAAAGCACTTCTGAAGAGCAATGGTGATTTTAACTCTTTTGGGAAGATACCTAGAAGAGGGATAGCTGGGTAAATGGAATTTCTACTTTTAGTTTTTTCAGGACTCTCCACACCATTTTCCATAGTGGTTATAATAGTTTACATTCCCACCATCATATTACAGGAATACATACATACCCATGGCTGTAGCAGCATAATTTATAATAACAAGATCTTGGAAACAGCATGTGTCCATCAACAGATGAACTGTTAAGGAAAATGTGGTATTTATACACAAAGAAGTACTACTGTGACATACAGAAAGATAAACCTGAAGCATTTGTAGGCAAATGGATACAACTTGAGAACATAATATTAAATGAAATAAGTCAGACACACAAACTTAAATATTGTATGGTTTCTCTTGTATGAGGATATACATTTTAAATGTATATACTTATAAATTAAATTTTCAGATAAATTTTTAAAAGAGCAATGAGAAGTATTTGTGTATATATAATATTATTTAGATATAGATATATGTAATAAAAAACAACATAGGAGATAGAAAAGTAATAAGTAGGGAGAAGATCAAATAATGCCCTGTAACCCACTTTACTGTTTCAGAAGTATTTCAATATACATGCTAATTTGTTTCATGTATACTACTAGTTTCTATTAGTTCATTGAAAGGAAAGTTTTGTGTTATTATCTGTTTCTTTTTTTATAAGGCAGAACCTTTTGTATCTATGTCATGTACTCTGAGTAACTACTTTGAAGATGATGATACACAATGTATTAGTTTGTTAGGAAATTTTTACATAAATTTTTAAAGAGTTCAATGAGCAGTATTTGAAAGGTATTGGGCATGCAGTGTCACATGATTGGGTGTGTGCTTTGTAAAGATGAGGCGGACAGAAGATACAGCCTGGATGAGAGCAGTCTGATCGTGTGTGCAGGGAAAGCGGAGTGGAGTGGCCCAGTGGTAGGGCAGTCCAGTATTTTAGACTATGGTGGTGTGGGGAGCTGGAGTGATATGAGCAAGCAAGAGGAATGTAGGAAGCATGCACTACAAAGCACTTGACATCGGTTTGGACATCAAGCTCTTATTTTTCTAGAATAATTAGGGTAAGGAGTTGTCTCATAACACAGTATTCTGAAAACTAAAACTTCTAAGCAAATTGTAACCTTGGTTGGAGTTTGCATGAAGATGATCCAGGGCACATCTTTCAGAGGAGTGGTTTTTTATAGCTTTCTTTTCATATTAATTCTTCAAGATTTGGTTCAACATGTTAAAAATCCATTTTATCTCTCAGGGTTCTTGTATGTTGGTGTGTGTGTACAAATACATATATGTGTGATTACAGGAATATTGATAACTATATATGTATATTATAAATTTTGCATGCTTTATTTTTATATTTTATTTGTATATTTACCTTTAGTAGGTACTTTAATTTTTATTTATAGTTTTATATGTTTTCATTTTTACATACACTTACGTCTGCAAGCAATTACCAAAAATTGTGCTAAGTATCAGAAAATTATAACCTGTGTGAGTGTAACTAAAATTTTACCTACTTGAGTAAGCAAATGAAGCCATTAATTGAACCCAAGTTAAAATTGAGTTTATTATTTACTAATTTGCCAGAGTATATTTTTTTATTTTATCTTTACTCAATTAAATTACGTAATAATCATTTCACTGATTTTTTTTTTAAGATTGAAAGATAAACCTTTTCTTAACATGGTAGTGTTACATACCTACCTGAATTTTACATTTTTACTCCTTCCCTAGGATAAAACTGCTAAATCATTATATTAAATCTTTTAAGTTTTCTAAAAACTATAACTTCATAAAATTGTATACAAATTGCTATGCAAAAAAGAAATGTTCACCATAGTTACATCAGAATTTGCATGCCTGTCTGAGAACATTAGATTATACATCAGTAATTCATCCTAAAGAATAAAAGGCAGTTTCCTGCTTGCCAAGAAGGTCTTGATGAGGGTGTTCTTGGACAGCTATCTCCTGATAACGTCATCCACACACATGCAGGATGGGATTATTGCTCAGACACAGCGTGTGCACATTGCTGCTTGTTATGTAGCTCAGCCTATAGGATTTGTCCATTAACTGCTACAAAAATATTTGACACCATCATTTAGATTAGGCTTCTATGGTATTATCAGGAAGTTTAACTCTCCTGATTAAGTTCATCAGGTTATAACGTCTACCTCAGCCTCAAAAGTTTAATCTTTAGTTTTCCTTTCCAGGAGTGGTGAACAATATTGATAAATAGCTCAGGCTTAACAGCCTATCTTCTATACAGATAAGACAGCATAGTAAGATGCGACATGCTGTTCTGCAAGCAGAAACTGCTATGGAGAACACAGAAGGATATGATCAGTCTGCTCAGAGATGATGTTTGCCATGACTATTACTCAGAGCAGGGTATAGTAAATAGTGATTTACAGGCACTTTTGCAAAACACCTCTATGATTTTCCTTTTTTTTTCAAGTCTGGAAAAGAGGATATTCTTTCCATTTTGTAGATGAAGAAATTGAGGCTCAGAACAGTTAATGATTTTTCATGAGAACCTTGGAGTCTGACAATGTAATAAATATGGAACATATGAAAATAGCAAAGCACATTAGTGGGGGGGAATTGCTAAGTAGAAAACCCAAACACATAACTGCCACTCTAGTTTTTATGTCAAACTTGTTAAGAGGTAAATATCTACTTCCATTTAAAAACCTATTAATGAACACACATATAGTGAATGAGAACTTAATATCATATACTTAAACATCATTTAGGAAATATCATGATAATGTTATTGGTAAACT